TGGTAGCATCATTGGAACTATAATGTTCTCCAGCGTCCACCCAAATGGCTGAATATTTGAATTTTTGCATTTCAAACAGTCCTTTGTGATATTTGTTTTGCATGTACTAGGTCAGCGATGACAATACATTTGCTATGCATGTTCCTGTCCTAACCTAAATGTGATTTTTCACAGACTACTTTGTGTTGGTCGTTAACGTAAAACTCCAATGAAACACATTGAAGTTTGTGGCTGTAATGTGGCAAAATACAAGTAAATGTTTGAAATTTACAAAAATCTTTTCCACTTCTGAGAGTGCAGAGCCTTTCCCCACCTCCGCACACTCCACTGTGAGCCATTATGTTGCTAATAAGAGATGAACAAGGCAAAGTTCAGGCTCTTCGGGATATCTTGTGATTTCTAAGTACTAATGCCCACTATCTCAGCAGTGAGCGAGTGGTGGCAGGGTTTGTTACACTGAGAACACAAAATGCGTCAAAAACACAGTCGAACCGTTGTAATTTCATGCCGATCCTCGCTGCCAAAACTCTCCGCCAGCAGACAAATGGCAGTCAAGCGAGCCGTGACCTTTGCCTCACAGCTAGGTGGAAAAAAAAAGCAGGCATCCCAGGAGACTTTTAACAGAGAGAATAAGAAAGGTTGAATAGATGTTTGATGACTCATAAGCTCCGCAGAAAAGTGTTGGTATTAATATCTTTTGCAGGCTTTCAGCATCACAGATGAAGACACCGAGGCTGGGGAGAGCTTCACAGTGTCACAGCCGAGTGACATCTGTGTGTTTACATCCTGCGGGACTAGAGTTGGCTTTAAGGAGAGCGTTTGAAGTTTTAAAAGGATGGAGGTTCATACAGTTTTAGAAAATGAAAATATCACAGAGGTGTGTGTGATGTGATACAGAAAAAAAAGAGTGAAAAAAAATGTTTTCAGCTTACCAGAGGAGCCCAAATACCCTCGCTCCACTTCCTTTCTGGGTAGATGTCTGCTTCTTCCTCCTATGGGTTTTTTTTCTTCAGTCTGGTAAATTCAAGAGAATAAGAAATTTCACTATAACTTACATTCAGATTTTTTTATTATTATTATCAGGACTTCAAAGCAGCCAGAAAGGAAAAATCCAACCACTCTTAAAAAATGTCTCAGTAGGAAGTTTTGTACATCTACGTCTTTATACAACGGGCTTACTTCTCTCTATTTGGTTTTATTACAATCTGCAAGAAAAATCCCTTTCACATTGGGAATCTATTCAGCCCTTTGTCACATCAAGGGATCCTCCAACATGAAATCTTCCCTCATCAAAGGCTCTGCCTTTTTTTTTAAAGAACCCGTGTAAACTGCTGCTGTGGGTGTGTTGGGTCTTTAGAAATGCACTTAAAACACACCCGACTGTGAAAAGATTTGTAGGTGAAAAGAAAGCAAACACCCAAGCTGTGTAAACCCATGTGATTTTGGACTCTCAGACTCAAACAGTGCATAGTCCAAGCCGACAAAGGCCCACAGCTGGCAGACATCTCTCACTTCTGTTGTTCTCTTACATCACTGATCTCTTCTTTCTTCCACCTATTTGTCATCCTTTACTGCAGTCTTGAACCAGTCTTTTCTTTCTCTTAGACTCTTTTTTTCAATTCGAAACAGTGCTACTGTCTTAATTTTCCTCGTCTCCCCTCCTCACTCCTTCTCCCCATTGCTACCAACCCTCTGTACCGATTCTCTTCTCTCACTTGAGAAATCCCAAGAAAAAAAAAATAAAAATCATAGCAAAATCTAGACTTATTTCATGTGACTGAGGTCAAACTGTTGTGTTCACAGCCAAACAGACTTTAAAAAGAAACTGGAAGAAGAGTTAAAAGGAAATAAACAATATAAAAAAAATCTAAGAAGTGGCAACAATTTATCCATTAGTTAATATGAACGAACCTCTTATTATTACAATAATTCTTTTAAAAAACAAAGAAAATGTTGCATCCAAAACTCAGAATAACCAGAAAAACTAAAATGAAGTCTAATTTATGTTCAGGAGTTTCCTCACCTGCGTCTCGTCACTTTCGCCGCTCTGAGGTTAGGACTACATGCAGGGACATGAGTGTTCAGAGAGTGGAGTGCACTTTTAAGATCGCTGTAAAGATATGTTGGCGTGTCGGTAATTATTTTGTTTTTTCTTTTCCCATCACACACCTATATACGTCATTTCATAAAAAGTTATTGTGCAACAAATAGAGATTATTCAATGATGAGAATTTGGAATTGACAGAATTATACCATATGTTTTAAGTCTTTTGCGAAAGGATGCATACCCATAACATGTAATTCACCATTTCTCAATACAACCACATACCTTCACATATTTTATTGGTATTTTATGCAATAAATTAATAAAAGATAGCACACACTTTGACTCTAGAGGAAAAAAAACCTACATGCTTTTAAGTTTTTTTTTGTTTTTTTTTTGCAAATAAAACTGAAAAGTGTGAATTTGAATAGATCATTCCAAAGCTTGAACATACTATGAGATAAAACAGCTTATAGTTGTTGTTCTGCTTGAAGATCCAGTTATTTTTTAACAACCTCTAGAAGGTTTTCTGCTAGAGTAGTTTTGTATTTTACTCCATTTGTCTTTCCATTTGTTCTGACCAGCTTTGCAGATGAAGAATAAAAGTCCACACAGCATAACGCTGCCACCCTTGTGTTTAAAAGTGTGTTCTGGGTGATTTAGTAGAGTGGTGGAGACTACAGCAGTCAATTTTGCTCTTGTCTGCCAGATGTTTGTTTTTGACTTTGAAGTGGATTTATGGCTTTCTTCTAAGAATTGAACAGTTGTGGTGGATTTTATCAAGCATATCAAAGTGATGTAGGGGGCAATTACAATGTTTTTAACTTATTTGTGGAAAAAAAGTAAAAAAAAAAAAAAGAAGTAAAAAAAATATATATATATATTTTCCTTTGACTTGGTGAATCTTATAAAATTCAGAAACAGCACACTGCTGTGGCGAAGTTATTTTTGGTTGACAAAAAGTTCGAACTTTCAGTGGCGTATGAATACTTTTGGAAAGCGCTGCAAATGTCGAGCCAGTTATCAAAAGACTTGTGAGCACGAAGTTATAAAAAGCATTGCATCATCTCTTTGATCTCCTTCTGTCACGTCTCGCCCACATTGTCATGCTTTTATCTGTCCTCTCCGTTTGCTTCATTCCAGCTTCCTGCACAGTCGACTGTGGGAGATTTGTCCTGACCTACCGAGACACCACAGCAAACAAAACCAAACAACAAGAGCAGTTCATAAAATACATTTCCTTTCAAAACAATCTGGAGAAATTTTTTATTGTGTTGCTATTTGCTATGCCCAATCCTCTAGCATCTTTTCCTTACAGTATTTCATGGTGAACGCAGACATGCTCCAAGAGATTGACTGGTAAAAATGATTGAAGAACCCAATCCAATTTAATTCTAGAAAAAGAAAAAGCTTATCGACTTCAGTCTGCCGCTCAAAATAAGAGTCTGGGGGCCCAACAGAGAGAGAACCGGCGTTTCCACATGGTTTAATACAAACACTGCTTTCTGTGCTGTCACACAGGTGCTATTATCAGCTGCAGGTTTGCAGGTTTCCTTTTGCTTCAGTTCGCTGCACGTCCAAAACTTATCAGGAGATTTTTTTTTTTTTTCCCATTTTCCATTCCCAAAAACCTTCCATTATTTATTTCAACCAGCTGTGCAATTCCCTGACTTCAAGAGCTTAGGTGTAGTTAATACATTTCTGCTTACAAAAAAACAACAAATATAAACTTGGATTTAAGAGGTTTCTGACCCAGATTTTAAAAACACTGACATAGATGCTTTTCTCCTCAAATATCCCCTTTTATTACTGCTGACACCATTGCTGACTTCGTAGCAGTAGAAGTACAGACGCACGCCACGGTGTTCTTGTACCGAACCTAATTGATCATCCGTTCTTCTCCTATTGATTCGCTGGATCGTTGTGAAAGGCTTACTGCTGCTGAAGCCTCCAAATAAGACGCACAGCAATGAAATGACCTTTCTACATCCTGTTGGAGCGATCCAAATCCTGATCCCATCAAAAGCAGCCTCGCCCCACGACGTCGGGCCCGCCGTCCCACTGCCCCACCTCTGCCCTCGGACCCCACAGAGCCGGGCAGAGTTCAGTCCAGATCTGCTGCCATGGAGATAAGAAGGAGGCGATGTGGTAGTGGGACTGAAAATAGCCAGACCGTGTGCTGACAGAGGCTAGACGACAAAACACCTCGCAGCAAGAGACACATAGGATTCCTCAGTACCTCTGAGATCACTCTCATGCCGTGAGTAATGCCAGAATTAACAGGCTGAGAGTAAAAACACATCTCAGTCCAGTTAATAGAAAGATCAACACAAACTGAATGACTGGTGCCGATTGGATACTCGTTTTCGATATTTTGATGTCGCTTCAACAATCCCAAAATCACAGCTAGATCAGATTGGTAATCCATTTATGAATTTGGGATTTGTTTGGGATGCGTAGATAAATTGGGCTTAAAGATGCCCTGATCAAAAATAAATAAAGAACAGATTAGAAATAATAGTCATTTTTGAAAGACATTAAAATTTGTTTGATGTTCTGAAACAGTGCGGTGTGAGAAGCAGAAATACGTAAGTGCAATGCCACTTGGCATGCTTTGCAAAACAGCCAATTAAGGAGCGCCATTTATCTTCCTTGGCGCTGATTGGCTGCATCCCCAGGAGTGGAGATTAGGATTGTAGATTATTTACGGTAGTGCCAAGACAGTTTCCATTGTGTATGGTTGCATATTTGGTATTTAATTGTTAAAATAAGCAGTTATAAGCGTTCTTAGAGGGAGGATGTCAGTATTTAAAAACTTTAGTTATTCCCTACCCCTGTTAAACACCAGGGGTCCACTCTACCATCAAAGCACTTTATCACTTCTTTGAAAATTGTTCAAACCTTCATTCTGAAGAGTTTTTATTTATTTTTTGCAGTATCTTCTGTCGAAGATACCATAGTTTCTATGTATAACAGAGATGGTTCTTTATAACTTCAGACTCTCCATTGTAGCTGGGGGAAAGTATGGTCACACTGTCATCATTTCAAAGGATGAAAAGCTTTAAAATCAGCACTTTTTAAAATCCCTGTAGACCTGATACTGGGAGCCACTCAACATCTAAAGTCAACAAGTGTTTCAGTCATGACTCACTGCAGATGACGCCATGTGGTTTGTTCTGTAACGATGTTTGGTTTCTTCGCATTTTTCAAGTCAAAACCAAAAACATTTACATATGCAAACTGGACGGATGGACGGATGGATGGATCCAACTTCCTTACAAACTATAGTATTTTTTTATTCCTATTCTTGCCCAGATGGAGAAAACACCTAAGTCAAGTTCTACACATTTCTCTTTCAAAGCTGTGCTGTTTGTGTGTGTGTTTATGTGTGTGTGTGTGTAAGTCAGATAAGTGAAGGGGGTTCAACAGCAGCCATATCAGCAGACTGTGTGTTTAAATTTAGTCTTGGCTAATGAGAGGCAGAGTGTGGACACAGAAGAAGCATCATTAATGCCAAAAATGAGTGAAATAATTAGAATGGGAACACTCTTTCTTCCACAGCGAGGACTTCAGAAGAGCCGACGGTTCTGCTTGGCATTAGATGTACAATGAGAAGAGAATAATCAGGATGAGAATAAAGACGGACATCCTCAACGGCTCATTATCGCCTTCTGTTTTCAATCTAGAAATTATCTAGAAAATCAACTACTACAATGCTTACTGCCTTGAAGTTTAGTCTTAAATTTTACAGGTTTTATCTACAATAAAAATGAAACATCTTTAAGATTAGACCCTGTTAGCACCTTTTAATATAAACATCTGGACATTTTTCTTCTAAAACCAGTGCGTACCAACTAACCATCTTACTACTTCATGCAAGATGAAGCTACTTTTGTACGCCGCCTGCAGATCCTACGGAGCATCAACACTTCTACTTTTTACATAACAGCGACCGCTTGACCTTTGAGTA